AGAAACTTACGGCCATCATGTAGCCGATTGTCTAGAAAATGCGGAAACCTCGACGTCTCACAACCCTATGGGCCTCCACGGACTGTTACAGGGATAGCTTTACTTTATGGAAATCTCCACGCTATAACTTCCTCCAGTCTGCTGTCATTCCTAGGAGCACTTACTCTCTTCAGCCCACTTTCCTTGTAGACCCTGAATCTATGTCCTTTCTTTAGATTGAGAAACCAAGTTTTACACCCGGAATAATTAAACGCTTTTCAGCGGGGTTATACATTTATGCGTGTTGATTACATGAAAACATATTCAGTGTTCTCTCAACGTGAGAATTTTAGTCAGAGCTTATCGACAACAAAAAATAAACATTTCGGACGAACGTGTAGCCTCCGTCTTCTGGGTCGAAGATTAAACCGAGCAAGAAACCAGCGTCAAAGCAGGTGACAAGCCAGCTACACCCATTATTTAAATTCGCATATTGGGGGGTGGAGTCCAACTGGGTCCACTCGGCACGGCGGCCACTGATTGTCCTGTTGTAGCCTGCCCCGGGTGATTATGATGATGGAGAATTTGGTGGAATGAAGATTGACAGGGGAAACCGAAGTATTCGAAAAAAAAACCCCGCCCAAGCGCCACTTTGTCCACCACAAATCCCACTTGACCAGACCCGGAATCGAACGCTGACCGCCGCGGTGGGAAGCCAGCGACTAACCGCTTGAGCTATGGCGCGGCCGACTACACGGCCCTATATTCCAGAACATGGAACCCTCTATAACCGTCGCTGTGAGAATCAAAAATCTTACGCACAAATCCGTCATTTTACGAATTGACGGATTACACGTAAGTGGAAAAGGTATTAATTAGACTAATGGGGAGGATACTCCGTGCTACAAATATAATCACTTGACGATATAAATGTATGAATTGCAATGGAAATGACATTTAGACTGAATTAAAAAAAAAGACATGATCTGTAAATTAAATTTCCAGGTGCAATGGAAATGACGAAGACCTAGGAGTGGATGGAAAAGTAATTTAAGTTTTGAACCACAGAGCGGGAAATACAATTCATCCTGAACTCTTCAAACGTTCAATTTAAAAAAAAAAATTATTCTCGAACTAACGAACATTGTAATAATTTGGAAAATGTAAGCTGAAAGTTTATATTCCAATTCATCTTTGGTATTCTGTTTGACTTTACTCTGTTCGTATCGCTTTCTTTGGGTACTTTTCGCTTGTAAAATCAACATTTGTAAGAACGTTGAATATTTCTCTTGTGACTGTATTTCGTATTCAGTGGCTGTCGTATAAATCTCATTTGTGTTGCTTCCAGCGCGTTGATGTCCGTTTTGTGCAATCAGCTAATGGATCTGTATTATTGCGCCTACTTAAAATAGAAACCATATAATTGACATTCGTTGCACAGTTATTAGTAAGCATTAGGGCGCTTGGAACCCTCTGTGAAAGTAAAGAATTTCATTAAAACCTCGTTTTGTCTGTTTTACTTTGGGTCCCATCTCTCACTTCAGTGCCTTTGTGTAATGATAAACTGTGTAGCACTAATAGATACAAAAGTACGCTGGATTCATGTAGGAGAAAATTACGTCTTATTTTAATGCGTTATATTGAAAAGAGAAGAGTTCTATATTCTGGGATGTAATGTCATGTAGCCTGTTGAAAGTAAACAGAATTTTCGGAGGGATATTATTATTATTATTATTGGAGGGGGTGGGTTTCCCCATGCACCGCGACCAGTGGTCTATTGTACGTCCCCCTGTGATATTCTACCAGTCTCTATACCCTACCGGTACTGGTGCGTGCCATCAGTCCCGACTAAGCCAGCGAGTTCGACCTCTACTGGCTCAGCTGTATGTAGATGCTTACCCCATCTAGCAGAGGCGTTAGAGACTATTGTTGGGCGGGAAATGTCCTTACAAATTTGGCTCAGAGGTCTCCTTGAGACATGAGGTTCTTTTACGTGCCGTAAAGCTACGACACGGGACCCACGGCTTAAAGTCCCTCCCGGAGGACTTGTTCCTTGAATTCTTCCGCCCTTAAAAATTCCACAACCTCCGCCGTGTTTGAACCCGCGTACCTTGAGTCATGAGGTGGGAACGTTACCCCTAGACTACGGAGGCAGCTTTCGGAGGGATATATCGCTTCCACCTTCAGGATCGGAGAATAAGCAAGTAAGAAACCAACGTCAAATCAGGTGAAAAGCAAGTTTCTGCTTGTCTTATTCGACTCTGAAGATGGAGGCAACATATTCTTCCTAAACTTCGGATGGCTCTCAGCGGACAGCTCTTCATAACCACCACTGTGAAAACCTCAGAACGATGTTTAACAGCACGACATTTAAGTGTTAGCCAAATTACGCGATAGTGGTCAGATTGGAGCCTTCTGGAATGATACCATGTAGCATGGAAGGTAGGTAACACAGTTTCGGAGGAAGGTGCTGCCTCCTTCTTCATGGTGTGTGATCTCAATTTGAAAATATCGTTATATATACGTAAGGGGGTTGGGAAGCAAACAGGTCACCGCGTGTGGGTCAAAGAACATTGGAGATACGAGAAGGGAGTAGACAAACAAATGAAAATGCTATTATTTTAGAACACAGAAAGAGGTTGACCCCGTTCAGGCAAGGAAAGTGCCAAGTTAAGTCTGTATACAGACTGTCGCTATCCCAAATTGACTCAATTCGGCTCTAAAGACGGTGCAGTAACGTTACTACGTCACAGAAGACAGCATAAGGACCGCAGTCGCTGCTGGGAGGACATTACCCCCACAAGTCAGTGCCTTTACATTGTCACGCTTCTTGACCCCGGATTCAATCTCCTCTTCATTTCCTCCAGAATCAAGTTTTGATTTGTTACATTTGTCCCCAAATATCTGAACTGTGCCACATTTTCAAAGAATCTCTTACCTATGTTTATAGGCCGCGTCATAGCTCAAGCGGTTAGTCGCTGTGCATCCCACCGCGGCGGCCCGTGTTCGAACCCGGTTCTGGTCAAGTGGGATTTGTGGTGGACAAAGTGATGCTGGGGCAGGTTTGCCCCGAGTACTTCGGTTTCCCCTGCCAGTCTTCTTCTTCTTCCCTCGGTACTAAACCACAGTGGGCTTAGGTCTACCTCCATGAACTTCTCGGTTCACTTCTGTTGTCTAGATCTTACACATTCGGTAGGACTCCTTGGGCGGGTGATCAGTTCGTCGCAAGGCCCCTACCTGCACACAAACACAGAAAAACGCACACACAGAAACTAAACATCCATGCCCTGAGTGGGATTCGAACCCACGATGTCGGTTTCCAAGCGAGCGAAGACAGTAGATGCCCTGCCAATCTTCATTCCACCAAATTCTCCATCATCATAATCACCGGGGGCAGGTACAGTAGGATAATCAGTGACCGCCGTGCCGAGTGGACCCAGTTGGACTCCACCCCCCACAAAGCTAAATTAAAAAAAAATTAATTACCTCTGTTTATGTCAGAATTTGCCCTACATTCTGGTGACGGGACAGCAGCATATACTTAGATTTCTCTGCGGTTACTTCTAATCTAACATCTTTCTTTTTCTATGGCGCTACAGCCCCAATTTGGGCCTAGGCCTACCTCCACGAAACTCTCCGTTTCACTTCGGTTTACTAGATCTTACACATTCGGTAGGACTCCTTGGGCGAGTGATCAGCTCTTCGCAAGGCCTCTACCTGTAGACAAACACAGAAAAACGCACACAAACATCCATGCCATGAGTGGGATTCGAACCCACGATCCAGGCTTCTGAGCGAGCGAAGACAGTGCATGCCTTAGACCGCTCGGCTACCGTGACCGGCAGTGTATAAGAATAATATATAAGAATTCAGTTCGTACCTCACAGGAAGCAGATGCGAACCCACGATCCCGGCTTCCGAGCGAGCGAAGACAGTGCATGCCTTAGACCGCTCGGCTACCGTGACCGGCAGTGTATAAGAATAATATATAAGAATTCAGTTCGTACCTCACAGGAAGCAGATGCGAACCCACGATCCCGGCTTCCGAGCGAGCGAAGACAGTGCATGCCTTAGACCGCTCGGCTACCGTGACTGGCAATCCAACCTCTTTACTAGCGTCAATTAAAGTTCCTGTGTTTTCTTTATGACATCTTAGTTATCTCCCAGTGCAGTCACATCATCAGCATAGACCAGCAGCTGATGTGTCCCATTTAATTTCAGTCCCATCTGGTTTTCCTGGGCCTTCGTAATGAAATAAATAAAATGTTCTTTTCTTTACGTACAACACTAGGATTCATATAATGCAATAAATATATAGTATATATTTGTTTTTTTTCTAGATCTTCCTAATAATGTGTTTTATAGTTCTAAAGAACGGATGGAATTTATTTATACTGGAGAAAAGAATTCTCATACTTCGTCCCTCGTTTCAGATATCTTCAATTCATATGTCGTCTTTACTGCGTGACCACTCTTCCACTGGGTCTGCATTAGCAGTAACTTTTAACACGTTTCACTTCTTGCCTTCAACATGAAATAATACCGTTTACATTCCCTACAGAACGGACAATACTGTGTAAAATGAGGCACCGACTAAATAATTAACATTAATATTACTACATCTACATCACCAGCCTCCAAAACAGTTTATTATATATACACAAAATATAGAATACTCCAATTTGTCCGTGGGAACACAACAAAGTCACAAAAACGAACGACTGACTCGGTGATGTAAAGAATCACTCGAATAATTTTTATTCTTGTTTTATAATATAAATTTTCTTTTATATAATCTAATTTATTGTATTTTTACTCCAATAATTAATAATATTGTATCTAATTTTATTAGTACTGCAGTTCAGTGGTGTATATATGTTAGCCATGTATTTGCCTGATGATGGCTTTTGATAGTCGAAACATGTAGCAGAGCGAAACTAGGCACGGACCTTGATATAGTTGTGTTGTGACAGTTTTAATAAAGAAATTGTATGAAATAATACGTTTTGTTTCTGTTGCAGCATGATGCTAATGTTGCTGCAGTACGTGGTACCACTGTTGGTGCTGGTCTTCACTTACACGAGGATAGCCATCGAGGTCTGGGGGAAGAAGACCCCAGGAGAGGCAGAGAACACGCGAGATCAGCGCATGGCCCGCAACAAGAGAAAGGTTTGTCATATCAGCACGTAACTCTCACATTAAATGTAAATATGAATACACGGTCACTCGGTTATGCCACAGTGTCTCATAGTTGCCCACAGCTGGGGTTATTGCAGCGTCATTTTGTCGGGTATGTACAGAGGGAGAGAGCAGACACTAACTAACTAACGAGAACGGAAGTCATCACTAAAGAGACCAATTCTTTGTATGGAACCAACATTAGGGACTATATTATATTTAAGCATCCTGTTGCACTCTACACGATAAATGATACAAAATCCGTCCCAAGTGCAAACAATATATATTGTGACATGTTGACCCATACCTCCCCAGCGGCCCGTAGAGGTAACGTAGCGCTCGCGTAATAGGCGATCTTGATCTTCTTCTCCTCTACACTACATGTTTCGGCCTCTAACGGCCATCATCAGGTGTATACTCTTACGTTACTGTCACACTGAACCCAGTCTAAAATTTAACATTTAAAAATCACATTGTTATTTCTTCGTTATTACCAACATCTACCTCTTTGATATCTGTCTGGCATGTAGATTATTTTGCACACGTCAATTTTGGTTTTTCTGTACTAGCACTANGTATGTAGATTATTTTGCACACGTCAATTACTACACAGAATAACACCTGTACAGTGTGGAAACAAGAACTAGCCGCTGCAGCACTTAGACATAGGGCGAGTAACCCTAATAATTTTAAATTTTAAATTTTAAATTTAGAGAAATTTTTAAAGGATTTAAAATTAGAACTAAAGATTTTATAGTGCTAGTACAGAAAAACCAAAATTGACGTGTGCAAAATAATCTACATACAAGACACATATCAACGAGGTAGATGTTGATAATACGAAGAAAATAACAATGTGTTTTTTAAATGTTAAATTTTAGACTGGGTTCAGTGTGACAGTAACGTAAGAGTATACACCTGATGATGGCCGTTAGAGGCCGAAACATGTAGTGTAGAGGAGAACAAAATCAAAGACATATAATATATATTGTTTGCACCTGGGACGGATTTTGTATCATTTGTCGATTAGGGACTATGTGTGTCGATTGGGCCCCACTAAGTAGGTTCCACCCGAAGACAGACAAATTCCAGTCTCCGGAGCATTGTGTTTTAAATAAAAACAGAACGGTCTAGCAACATAGAAAACACTGCTCCTGTGTTGTTGGTCGGGTGTGTGTTGTGGGCGTTGCCTGGCAGTGGGTCGATACGTAACAATATTATTCTTACCAGTTTTAAATGATCCTGTCGTATGCACCTGGGTTTCCTGAGCAGTCTCTTTCCTTCAAGTTTACCGACAAAACCTGTCTGCGCAATTATTTGCCCACGTGCCTGCATTGGAATAGCAGAACGGGTCTTCGGCGTCAGTAGCAGATTCATGTTGTCGCTGGTTCTTGGAAGTTACCGCTAAAGCTACTGAGATATTTCGTTTCCTCGCACAAACATCATGCTGTGAGCATTAATTTGTACCTCGGTTGTTACGAATGCATGAAGGAACTAACACAAAGTACCTTCAGATTTCAATTGTGGACTACATTTCGTGTGTGATGTTCAGTTGCTATATCCTCATGTCTCCACGATATGTTAGGCTGCCCCCCCCCCCGTGCAACTGTAATGTGTTTGCGTTTTACGTCCTGACAAATTATCTGAACTGAAAGACAAAGGAACTGACTTACATCCACTCGTCTTCTGGAAACGAATTGTAACAAATGGAGAAATGAAAGTTGCCTTCGTCTGAGATGTGGTTTTATTTCAAGCTGGTTGTTTAACGACGCTGTCAGGATAATGTGTTTTACTGTATAGTTTGGTAGATACGTACTATTGAAGTAACCTGGAGCCTAGGGGCCGCGCCATAGCTCAAGCGGTTAGTCGCTGGCTTCCCACCGCGGCGGCCCAGGTTCGATGCAGGGTCTGGTCAAGTTGGATTTCTGGTGGACAAAGTGGCGCTGGGGCAGTTTTTCTCCGAGTACTTCTGTTTCCCCTGCCAATCTTCATTCCATCAATTGCTCCACAATCACCCTCACCTATCATCTGGGGCTGGTACAATAGGCCAGAAGTGGCCGCAGTACAAGGGACTTAGTCCCACCCCACTGGCAATAAAAAAAAACTGGAGCCTACGCCTTCACAGTGAAGGGAGGACGAAGAAAACATGTTCCTCCGAAATGTTGTTACTTTCTACCAAAGGCCACGGCGTCACATCTCAGGCGACCACTATTTTGATACACATTGCAGTGAGGGCTCTCACTTCTTACAAGTTAGTTAATATAAGAGCGTTCCGTTTCTTTTGTTTACATTGTCTCGAATACTATCAGATTTACTGAAAAGGTGTGTTGGGCTTAAACCATTTTATTTTTTTTACGAATTGTATTCATGACATCTCGCTTCTAAAAGCATTTAGTGGGTCACATTTGCGCTGAGACGCATTCACGCCTTCATTAACTTGTCCATTACTCATCATCATCATCATCTGCAAGGGTTGAGCATGTTAGCCCGTTTCGTCCTGAAAAATAAAACCATCTTTTCCTTGGTCTTCCTGGCATCCTCGAGAATTATGAGTAACTGTGTGTTTACTTGACCAGGTTACCAGGAACTGCACTACAAGCCGCAATGTCGCGCGTTCGATTCCCGATGAAATCATTGGATTTTTTAAATTACCTAATTCTTCCAACCGCACTGTGAACCTGGGATCTACTCAGCGTCTAACAGAAATGAGTACCAGGGATCTTCATCGGGGTAAAGGGCGGCCGGCGGTTAAGACTGAAAACCTGACCGCCATCTGTGAGCCGATTATCTAGAAAAAGTGGGAGCCTCGACCTCTCACAACCCTATGAGCCTTCACGGCCGGTTACAAGGATAGCTTTACCGTCTTGCCGGCCCATTTTGAGGGACTAGAACTTTTATAAAATTAGACGGGCTGCCTACCATAGCTAACGTATCCTGCCTATTCGTCACGTAACCCTGAGAAGGAGCCCTCACCAGCTGCTAACCACAGGGCCTGTGGGACCCAGAGCTCGCAGAAGACAGGGTCGCCACTTCCTGTAGTTCTACTGTCTCTGGCGAGAGTTCCAATTTGCTACCTCCAACTTGCCCACTAGTGTAGTTCACTAACAAACGAAAGCATATGTATCGACAGATGTTAGTAAAACCCATCAGTATAAATTAAAAATAATGCCTCCAACGGTTCCCAAATCACTGCACCCTGATATATATATACAGACCTGGCGAAGGTAATAGGCACAATTTTAGATTTGTGAACTGCCCAAAAAGAGAAAAGAACACAAAATATGATTTCAGCGATGACTATGAATAGATACAACGTTGTTTATTTGCGTTTCGGAGGAATATATGCCTCCATCTTCAGGGTCGAAGAATGAGCCAAGTAAGAAACAGGCCTGATTGATGTAGCAAGTTGTTTCCACCCTCCCCAACGCACTACACAGCTTTGTGTCAAAGAAGATATAACTCTTCAATCATTCAGTATTTCCCCTTCTGCGTCATTTCCGCATTAACGTAGCGATATCATGATGGCTGCTCGCTGAATTCTCCGCCCACTATTTTTAACAACTGGGCGAGTTACCGAATCCTAAACCGTTACATTCACTGAACTTCACAGACGGAAACATGACCGTGGCTCACACGTACTCTGTTCCGTTTCCTGTATCACCTTTGTTTATTCCCCGGCGCACTTTTAAACTGATATATAACACAAAGAAGGTGAGGCGCTGACAAGCAGACTCAGCTTTCTCTGAAGACGAAACTACCTCCCATGGTGTGGAGTCCTACTGTGAAACTGTCGCTACCGAAGCGGCACATAACGTAGACCTCAAGGCCGGCCGGTATCACTTGAGACAAATTCAAACAATAAATAAGCATGTACTTCTTTTGGCTTATTTTGGACTTCACCCATCGTCTGGTATGTAAAAGACAAAAAACCACGACGTTTCGGAGACTGGATCTGTCTCCGTCTTCAGGTGGATANGAAGTCCAAAATAAGCCAAAAGAAGTACAGTATACACCATTGTCAGAATCTTTCAAAGTCTATCCCAATAAATAAGCGTATTAAAAAAAAGTTTCAGTAGTGAATCCAAAAGAAATAAACAAGTAATATTATGAATTTTCTATCTGTACGTTTATATCCCCCTCAATTTTTAAGGATTATGGGAGATCATCTTGCTTTATATGTGTCAGTGTATCTGCGTGTCCCTCCCTATCTTTGCTAGGTAACAGGTAGTATGGATGTCCCGCATAAATTTTGTGTTTTCTATGTGGTCCGTTTCGTATCAAAGGAGAGTAGGAGAATTAGCTATCCTATCACATGCGCTTAAGTCTCCCAGGTTGTCAGCTCCATTCTTATTCTATGACTACTCATCCGCCCAGTATGTACTGCATGCCTCACTAAATTCCTGATCATTTTTTTAGGAATGGAAGTTACGAAGGATCTCACTGAGTAGCTTCCCTTCCCCCACCCCCTTGTTTCCTGTCCATTAGGTATAAATTATTCTGAATGAATCTAATTATGAGCCGGGATAGATGAGTCGGTATAGTGACGAGCTACTGTCTGAGCTGCCAGATTCGATTCCCAGCAAGGACAAGAGATGTTTCTTTCCGCCACAGCCTCCAGATCGACACTGGGGCCCAAATAACTACCTATAAAATGGGTACAGGCGTCTCTTTCCTCGGAAATAAGGCGGCTGGGGCGTGAAGCTAATCAATCACGTCCATAAGTTCGGAAATCAAGAATGGTGGAGTTATGTTTCCACTCCTGCATAAGTCTCCCAGCTTGGTGCTTAATAACTTAAGCACAGAAACATCTTTACTTTACTATTTACTATAGAGTAAATAATTCGAAAATGTGGCGAAATTCTAAGAACATATTTGAGAACGACGGTAGCAGAACAGATACATTACTTTCTGAATTATTGCAAGTTCTCCGGTAATTCGGTCCTGTTAAATTCCGCGAAATATTGTTGCAGTGAAGATTTTCTTTTAACTTCACGTCTCCTATTTATGAAAGC